CCATCTCAGGGTGCCCTGGGGACAGGGCCAGCACAGTAGGCCCTGGGGATTGAAGTCCCTATGTTTGCTTGCAGGCGCTTTAATCCACTGAGCTATTTGGCCTGCCCTAAGTTTCTGATTTAGAATGCAAGGTACTCTAAGAGGCAAACTGCGGTCAGTGCCATCAGAAAGGTATGAAGAATTCCACGCAATAGGAGAATTTCCCTTTATGTGATTCACTTCATATCCACTCAGGTCTAGGGAACTTGCCGACTAGACTATAGAAGATGAATGATGCCATGAGCCTGCTGGCACCCTTTATAATTCAACAAGGGCAGACGTGCCCGGCGTGGCTACTGGCTGGCGCACAATGGTCCGAAGCTCTCTCAGTGTTTTCCTGCACTACAGAGGCTGGAAAGCTAGAAACCGACTTTCTGGACTCCTCGCTGCTGGGATTCCCGCTGTAACTTAGGTTTCGTGGGTCCTATCTGTTGTGTAAGGCATAAGCTAAAAGCTGAATTTAAAAGACTTTGCATTAGGTAGAGAGAAGGGAACACTGGGAAGAATCTATTTTTCTGGTGCTGACTTTGGAAGGTGCCTTGTGGCTCTGGAGTCCTGGATGGTTCCGGCCCCAGATTACACCTAAGATGATATGTCCCAGTAACCAAAAACTAGGCCAGTGTTCATTTCCTGGTTGTGGCAGAAGCAATGGTTCCCTTGGGGAAGGTGGGTGGCAGCCCTGAAAGGCCACAGCCTGCTCTGCGATGATTCTGAATTTACCTGATTCTTTCCTTTAAATCTATCCCTGCTTCAAATAGTTTCAAAGGATTCTGCATGTGCACCTGAACCGTGAGTGTGCCAGGAAAGCCAGGGGGGAGGAGCGTGGTTGGAGCAAGCAGAGAAACACTCCCCAGGGCCACCCTCCTCCCTTCTTCATATCCACTTCCTGTGCTCAGCCCCACCTCAGTTCTATCACTGTCCTTCAGATTAATTAACCATATGATCAAATATCAAGTAGCTATGACTCACAAGCATCCTGCCTGACACTGGGGTCTCCGAGACGAACAAAATAAGCAATGTCTGTAGCTCCAAAGACCTTGTGAGGAGACAGATATAAACTAGCTCTCAAGGCCAGCCAAATAGCTCAGCAGATTAAATCACCTGCAAACAGGTACAGAGGCTAGGGGTTCGATCCCTGGGCCTTCCATGCCAGCCTCACCCCAGGGGCACACTGAGACAATGAATGAGACCGGGCATGGTGGCACATGCCTGTAATCCCAGCTCTTGGGAGACTGTAAACAGGAGAATCACTATGAGTCTGATCTAGTAGTGAGACCCTGAACACCCTGTAGATCCTGTCCTAAAATACAAAAACAAACAAACAAACAAACAAACAAACAAAAAAACCCAAAAACAAAAATACTAGCTCTCAAATAAAGATATAATTTACATTTGTTGAAAGCATTATGAAGGAACAGGAGAAGCAAGTATGGGGACGCACGGTGTTGGGGATCCTGTGAGGTAACTTACTTCATTTGGGAAGTCAGTAGGCATCATTAAGCTGAGTCACAAAGCATGGGAGAGGTCTCACTGTGCAAAGAAAATCATGAA